TGAAATAGGAGAAACAAGCATAAATGGAAGAATCCTTGGCTCTGAGATCATCAGAGTGTGAAATAAAGCTCTGAGTATCTTTCCAAACCATGGAGCATGCAATGGCACTCCATTCCTTGCAGTAACGCACTCCCCATGTTAGCTTTATTAATTTAAATAACTTCAATAAATATGTGCATTTAAAAGCAAATTCCTCTCCAGAAGAGCAACTTAAAAAAAAAAAGAAAGAAAAAAAAAGAAGAAAAAATAAAAAGAAAGAAGAAATCAAAAAACATAGTAACATGGGAATTAGGACAAAGACAGAGACACTGGTTTCCCTGAAGTACAGGCTCGGGAATAGCTACTTCAGCTGTCCTTCTCCAGTCCATCTACCGGAAGTGATCTGTGGGGCCCGGCAAGGGGGTAGAGGTATATTTGGCATGTCCTTAATCCATCTGACTTTCTGTGCAAACCTCAGTTTCATACACTAAAAGCAATAACGTCAAGCAGCACTTCACCGCACTTTGAGACCAACCAAGTGGCAGGCTGGAGACTTTCTTCCCTGCTCCTCAACCTCCAGGAACAAGCCAGAATCAAACTACACCTCACTGTGACTTCCAGCAAGCCTGCCTGCTGGGTTCAGACGGGTTGCTGGCACCGTCCCCCCTCGCTGTCTGGGAACCTAAGCGTTCTCTGAGCATTTCGAATTACCTACTTACTGCACGATGGGTTCATAAGGAGGCTTTAGCTTGAGGACCTCCCACATTCTGCACTTTCAGATAGAAACAGCTGTCCAACAGCTGGAACTGGCAAGGGATTTCAGAAACACTTGCACCAACACCTCAGGGTCCTTCATCTCATGAAGGACTGAAGGTACAAAGTCCTCCTACCTTCATCTATAGGGTATGAGATAGATGCAACTTCATCTATCTCATACCCTATAGATGCACCTTCGAGTTCAGCTGAACCAGTCCAGAAGGGTTTCAGCTGAATTGCCAGAGAGACTGTTGATTTCTAAAGAGGCTCTGGGAGAGAAGAGATATCAACTGATCTTAAGATAAAAATCCATATAATCACTGTTAATAATTAACAACCACAATCAGAATAACAACTTGTTCTTCAGATAAAACTGGCAAGCACAATTTTGTTTATCGTTAAAACAAACTTTGTGGTTTATTAAATCCCCTCTTTCTTTCTCCTTTGGTTTTTTTTTTTTTAATCTGCAACAGGCTTATATTAAAAATCCACATACTGACAACTTACTTTTCAATATTAACAAGCAAACAGTATTCTTGATGCCAACAGCTTTTTCCACCAGCGCTGACTGAAACAATTAGGTATAAACATAAAGTGTGCTTGGCCCAGTGAAGCAGAGCCACAGTACAGACTATGGTTTATTCATTTGCTTCGAACCTAGAGCAATAGTACTCTGCAAAACTAGCAAGCCTCAACTCTTGTTTGCCTTTCAGAACGAGAGCCGTGAAGCTGCATTGTAGATAAGAGGACAGTGAGGTTTGGGAACACAGTGTACGTATGAATCTCCACTTTATCGTTAGGAAAAAAAAATAAAATCCACCAACCAACATTAAAACAGCGTAAGCAATAGAATTTGTGACAACTTAAGACAACAGAACGTCTGCAATCACTCCATTTGCAGTATACAGGAGCGAAACCACCAAGGGCTTTAAGGCAAATTCTGACTCGAGGGGAATATTATCACAAGACACATCAGCTGCTTCTAATAGTGCAACAGCTGAGCAATCTTTTAACTGGGGAATTTCCTCTCTCCCCCAAAAGAGAAATAGCCTTTCCTATCATCTAAAAAAAAAAAAAAAAGCTACTGTAAGGGATAACAAGTACCAAAATTTGCTGTGCTCTTTTTTCAACACAGATGAATTTTCAGACTGCCTAGTTTTCTATGTAGTATGAAATATGTATTTCCTGGTAAGTAGGAAAAAAAAATACAGGTAGCTGTATACACCTTTCAACATTCAGACAGTTCAGTTACAGAAGTAACAGTACTGTACTCCACAGCTGTGGAGTATCTACAGCAACAGAACTTAAATTTTGAGTGGACAATAAAGCAAGTGAAAGTGCAGCTACCAGGATAAAAAGTGCATCTACACCTCTAAACCTTCATACGCTACCAGCAATGTAGTTCCTGAGATGGAAGATTTTTCACTTACGCCAGGTACTGAGCAGGACTAAATATTTTATTCAGAAATACAATAAATTACATTAACAACTGAAAGAAGTAACTGCAAAAACAAAGGTAGAGATTCTTGTAACAACTGAAAGAAGTAACTGCAAAAACAAAAGTAGGGATTCTTGATTTTTTTTTCCCAGTCTGTTCCTGACTGTACCTGTCAAGTCAGTGCATACGCCAGCATCTCATTACTATGACCCAGATGCTTTTAAGTCTACTCAGTGGGTAGCTGAAAAGTTGGTATTTTCTTCTCTTTGACATACCTCTTGCTCTGAGATCCAGCATTCATGAGCATTTGTTAAATTACTACCTAAAGTGATTCATTAAGAGGAGCAGCTACCACCAAGAGCTGCTTATAGCAAGACAAATTTTCCTAAGACTGCCATGCTAACCAGATTTTAATGGAAAAATTGTACCAGGAAGGGTAGATATAAATGCCAACACGTTTTGTTCACAACATCCAAGCATATGGATTATTTTGGAGCCTTAAATACTTCTGGGCTTGACTCACTGGTGCTGTGCCCTGTGTGCGGCTGCAATTTAGCAACTGAGAATTTCATATAAAAGCCAACAGCACCAAATCCAAACAGCAGAGATTTTGTACTTGCCTTGCAGTGGTCTGAAAGAACATAGGGGAACAAAAAAAGACTCTCGGTTTATCCGGTCAAGTTTTACCTCATGTAACCCCCAAAAGATCTGAAAATGGTTTTATGAAATTGGATTAAAAAGAAGAAAAAAAAAAAATCAGACAAATAACAACTTGTGTTCCCAGGAATGACTGAGCTTCCCTTCCTTTGCACACACTGAGATTCACTAATAATTTCAAAAAGATGCAGTGTTCCCTTCTTGCTAGACATTTGTGTATTTACTCACTACAGAAAAGCAGACTTACAGTAGCAGTCGAGCTGGCTCAAAGTTTTTTGGCAGCACAAGTAAAACTCAAGTTTTCCCCATCCTAAAGAGGAGAAGCTGGGACTGCATTTCTTAGGGCTGAAAGAAGCATGGCTTGGGAGAGCACTCCAGAGCCAGGCTCGTGCTGCTGTTGGGAGGCAAGAGAGAATGGATGTAGCACTGCTCTTCCCAACCCTCTGCAGGAGCCACCACCTCACACAGCCCTTCCCACTGGCACAGCAATGGGAACAGCGGCTTCCTGCTCCTCACTGCCTGGGTGATGCCACCTGTGATGGATGAAGACACAGCTGGAGGACATCAGCAGTGGCAAAGGGAAGGTCGGCACCAAGTCCGCGAGGCACTGGCTCTGATCCACTGAAACACTACCCTGTAGCCTTCCTAATATTTTTTTTTTTTTTCTCTCCAGAAGTTCACAGACGTTCCCGTGCCTTCTCGACACGCTCAAAGCAACGGAGGCACAGCAGGCTGCTAGTCACCGACAGAACAGGACCAGCTCTCAGAAGAACAAGACAATCAGTTTTGTGCCACCTCAGGTATATGCCACTTCTCCGGATTTTCCTGATGCAGAATCCCAGAAAACAGAAGAGTTTTATTTGGTCACCTGAACTCTTTCACTCTTGCACGTTCATGCTCACGTTGGCGAGAAGTATTTTAAGAGTTTATTAACTTTCAGCAAAACTCTTCAGCTGTTCCTACAACTGCAGTACCAAGGCAACATCGAACACACCATCGCATTATTTATAAACACTTTCTAATCCCAAACAGAATTAGCTGTATGCATATGGACAAAACATAATCAAGCATCTCCTTTACACTTTCTGGTATTTAAAAAGAAAAAATGATAAAAAAAATCATTAAAATAAAGACCTTCATTATTTGTCCATGTTTATCACCTAACTTAGGCTAAAATTCCACTTGCTAGCTGGAGACTTATACTGACATTCACAGAACATTTAATCCAGTATTCCTCTCCAGACTGTGTTCACAAGCTCTTGGAATCACTGCCTGCTTTGTTTGTGAAGCAGACCTGCTGGGTTCATTCATCTTCCATTATGCCAAATTTTTTGTTTTTTCCAGAACGAAATTGGAATTACATAAAAATACAACAGCCCGCATAATCCATCTTGTATTTTTCAGTTGTTTTTCAAAGAGGAAGGGATTTAGAAATGTGGTTTAAAACCTTTCGTTTGAACAGGACCATCCACAAATATAATCCTGAGGTACTCTGCAATTCAGTTACCACTGAAATTAAAATCACAGCTGAATATAATTCGGTATGGAAACGTTCATCTGTCCGAATACAGAAAGCCTTCTGATTCCACAGGGCACAGACACTAAATCATTCAGATCACCGATCGTGCGCCTGTCTACCCATTTGTTACGTTCTCGGGTGAGCTGCAGTGGAAAGAACAACTGGAAGGTCACAGATACTAGAAAAGAAGAATTTCGGTTGAGCAGAGTAGAAAGAGGACAAGAATCAGGCTGAATTTACTAAATAAAGGTTTTCTTTGCTTGGGGGTAAGAAAAAACTTCTAAGTCAAGTCACACGTAGTAGTGTTCCTACCTAGAATGCATCCCTTTGATGGGCAGCTCACCAACTCCTACTCACTCACGTGAGTCAAAGATGGAAGAACTACAGCCTGGCCTCAGTATGTAGTTAAAAACAACACATCCTGAAAACTGCATTTTGGATTGAAAAGAGTCTGCTATTTACAACAAAAACATTAAGTTTCTTATGAAAGCTCGTCTGTTTTTAACACACAGAGTTACCCAAATTCTGAAGCGCTACAGCCAGGCCAATCCTCCACAAGAGGAGGTAGTAATTTTTTAGGAAAGTTCCTGCAGACCAGCGGTTGCTTGGCTCCAAGGGCAGAGGAAGACCAGTAGAACTGTATCACTTTACCTTTGTAATTCACTAAGCGCTCTACTTGTGGACGGGCTAGGGTTTAGCCTCAGGAAGTTCTGCTTTAAATTGAGATGAGTGAGGTCTTGGCTATAAAACAGGTTGGCAGGCAGGTGCTCCAGGCTGCAGCATGAAAGATCCACTGAGCTTATGCGCTGTGATGCAACCTGGAAGACAAGAGATACACCAATACGTTAATATCGCAATAAAACAAGAACATATCCTCTCCCCCTTCCAACTCGAGATAATCTGCTCTTAAGCACAGCAGAAGTCAGTGTGGGCACATACACCTGATCTAACACGGCTTGCAAGTCAAGCCATGATCTCTTGCTTTGCCTCACTGCTTAAAAAACAGGTCCACACATGGCTAGCAAGGGGAAAGCGCAAAGGTTTGTCAAACTAGTAAGTGAAAATGACTCATCTTCATCAATGAAGTTGTGTGATACTCTATGACCAGAAGAAAAAGATAAGAGATTTGACACAAACTTCAGTTTAGTCATTCAGTTAGCAAGTGGCAGCAGCAAAAACAGAGCAGAAAAGTCTTCTACACTGCTGCATGACTGGTCTGTACACCCAAGTGGGGAGAGGCGAAGGGACAACAGCCCCATATCACCCTGTCTCAATTTCAAGGGTCAAAAGCAGGTATTAAATGGCAGAAGAAAGAGTGATCCTGCTTATATCTTACTGGAGAGTAAAATATCACAGCAGCAAAGCACTCATCTCTTCTCAATTAATTAGAAAACCCTCAAAGAGTGTTAAAAATGTGACAAAAACAAAACTGAAATTTGGAGATTTACCACTGTTTTCCAGAAAGGGGAAGGTAAAACACATACAGTCTCATAGAGGCTGAAGAAATCATACCATCTAGTACTACATATCCTTTGCATCATTCCAATCGTTCCATAGAGACCTAGAGGCAACAAATTCAAGTAAAAGCAACTCTGCCCCTTACCAAATCTCTAGGATACAGCTGGGTGAACTACATCCTGCTGCTTTACTTATTTACTATTCTTTATTTACAAAAAAAAAAAAACAACCTCAAAACACCATTGCAATGTAGAATTCTTATATTTTCTGTCCAATACTATTAAAAATATCCTTTCATAAAGGGGAGTCATGGAGCTAGCTACATGACAAAGCCCGACCACACAGTAGCACAAGACAGTGAGGATGGTGGGCAAGGAGGAGGGGTCCAATGCTAGAAGGATGAGAGGTGGTGTTAGAGCAGGCATGGCTTAGATCAAAGGAGGAGAAGCAAACAACTTGACTGCTATTTTAGACTTCTGGGACTGCACAAACATTGCTCAAACGGTTATGTGTTCTGTCATCTGCTCGCTGCAAGAGAAGCAATCATTTCATCTTATCATTGGCACTTTTACTGGCCTCATGTTAGGAGTCTGGAAGTACAAACATCACGTCTAAGGAACAAAAAGCGGAAAAAAAAATCCAACAAATTCATAATCAATGCCCAGTGACAGTCTGTAAGGGCTTCTAACTCTGATGAAGAAGACGTTCCCCAACCTCTGGGCAGAGATACAGCCCTTGCCATAAAGTGCCCTGAACTTAGACATGTCAGGTTTTGCTGGCATAAATGAAGTAGCTTGCCACTGAAAGGAAGGCCAAGGAGCTTTTTCTTCCTTTTTTTCCTCTCCAATGCAAGCTACACAGGCCTCAGGATAAGTGGTCTCTATTACAAACACACAGCCATAAGCTTGGAGAGGAACAGACCGTGCAGTGTTATTCTCTAATATGACCATTAATAATCCAGTCCTCCCACATCCATTAAAAAGCTCAAATTTTTGTTACTCAATTAGTTCAGTCCTTTTGTTACTGTAGCTACTATTTTTCTGCCCTTTGTACTATTAGACAAAAATTATTCATAGGCTATTCTGAGCAATAATTTCTGAAAGCTAGGTATTCAGTCTGTTTATCGTGGTTTATCAGTATAGTTCTCATCACACTGAAACACGAGAGATGAAGAAGTGCTGACACCCATTAAATTAAAAAGCAGAATGTGTATTTTCAGGTGTAATGCTTCCACACACTGTTGCTCCAACTACTTGTTTGGAATGTGATAGGAACAGTAATAAGCAACCCAGCAGTGCTTAGCAAGGCATGTTACTCTAAAAATATCTAAAGTACTGGCAACTCTGAGCCTGAACTATGATAAAGTAGTCAAATCCAAATTCTACTCTTGTCTCCAAAAAGGATGCAAATCCTTTCTTAAAATCATCAAGTCCTATGGGGGGAAAAAAAAAAAAATCATGTTAAACATAACTTTGTTTTTACAAGTTATATGTTCTGGTTATTTTTTGTTTGCTTGTTGGTTGCTTTTTTTTTAAAAAAAAGGAATCACTTTGTGATACGAAGAATTTAGTTAAGCTTTTCATGCAAATGACATACACTGAACGATGCCTCTACCAGATGGATAATTGTAAAAGTTAAAACCCCATTTTAAAAGGCGTTAGTTCTGTAACATCTGATTTTATTAAAGTCTTTTTTGTTAGCAAAACAGTACTCTAAGAATTAACTTCTGAGTTGTTAGAAGGAATACTCATATAAACACAGTTATTCCCATAGCCAGGGATAAAGACTTTTATCATTGCTCAATACTGTTCTGTAACAAACTCCCAAAGAATAGAGGAACTAGATGAAAAACAAGGAAGAGTGACAAAGGAGAACATAATCTTAACAATACTTTCTTTGGTTCACCGAAAACTTTCATCAGCTGTTTTTGAAGTTCAGCACTGAAATTCTGAAACAATATTGTTCCCAAATCAAACAATAAAGGGATATTTCAATCTTGCAACTGTCTTCAATTGACTTAAATGCAGTAAGACTGTGCATGTGTGTGTGTGCTATTGTTGATTAAGAGCAAAGCATTTTTCTAAAAGATGATCCAGTTTTTAATAAAGCACTGGGTTTCCTCGACTCACTGTGGGGAATCACTGCAGAGAGAAGCTGATAAAGGGCACGAAAACTCTGACTAGAATATCTCTTACAGTCAAAGAATAAAAAGCATCTGGAGGAAGGGACGTTATCTGCTGAAAGTCGGGTTTCCACTGGAAGAAAAAAGAAATAAAACCATGATATCTGCTGTAAATAAATACCCCAACAAGTTACCGGGGCTGGGCTCAACAGACCTGTGCTGCAACAAAAATAGTGAAGAAAGTCAGCGTAGTAGCAATGCTAGAGGGAAAGGCTTTCTAGATACATATGGAACCTGCACCGAAGCTCATTAGGGCTTCTTTGGTGTTTTCTTTTGGAAAACTTAAAAAGTAGAACTGGTTTATATGCTTTCCATACATACATACAAATAAAACCACGAGCAGTACAGTTCACAAGAAGCAGCAGCCATTGTCCAGACCAACCCCTCTGATACGACTTCTCATCACATCCTGAACTGCATACATCCTTAACACTTGTTCTCAGATGAAATCCCTGTTGCATTTCCAGTACAAACAACATGGGGGGAATGGCTGGGGCAATGACCTTCTTGGAAGATGGTGTATGACACCCTCTCAGTTACGCATAAGCTGTAGAGTCAATGCCTGTCTTTGCCAGACAAGCAAGACATGCAACAGTTTGACAGCAGAGTAGCAAGATTCTGAACTTTTTGAAGTCCGCTTTTCAGTAGGGATTTTGAATAATGAAAATATAAAGAAACAAGCTGAAACATGCAGCTTTCTCCATTCCCTGGATAGAATTTTTGAACACTTTATGGTCAATCACTGTCTTGCAACATCTCCCATTGTAATACTGGAGTAGTAATGGGGTAAGGCCAAATTCACTTTGCACATCAAACCACAAAGTCCAACGGAAGACTTTTTTCCTGTTCCTGTTGCAACCTCAGTTATGCAGCCCCGGCCTACAGTGCTTTAAGTTCTTTTTTTTCGGTCTCCAAGTGAGTATGGCATACTGAAGTGCAGTTTCAAAACAGCGGTATACAGCTATAGCACATGCACTACAAAGGGCCCTGGATCTACCCACTGGAAACATCAAAAAAGCTGTCATCGTGCTTTTAATTTTCCCCCAGTAGCAATAAAATGCAGCTTTATTCTGCAAATAGAACTACAAATAACGCTGCTGGAGAGCTCTCCCCCCCACCTCAGGCAGTACGCCTTCTGCTACTCCCCACTTAAGAGCTGCACATCTGGCAAAGAACTAGGAGTTTTCCAAAAAAATGAAAACTCACTTTTAAACATGTGTTACTTGTGTCACAATAGTACTTATATGTATAAACGACGATCCACAAAAGCCAGCAGTACCTTAAATAAAAAAGGTTTTGCCAAGGTATTTCGATTTTAATTTTCTTTATCATCATTTTAAAAAGGAAACAGCATTTCAAGACTTGTGAAAGTACTGTATGGGTTCACTATAAATCTTAAGCAGCTGGCAACAAAAATACAGAAAAAATACTTGTATCGACCAATATTCTTGTCTCATCTTGATACACAGGGCTAAAAAACCACTTTGCTTTGTCTCTCAGTATAATGCCACCTCTGTCACCGAGCTACGCAACAAGACTGATTACGGTCTTTGTGTTAAAGCCTTGGCTACACTACAAAAATGATCTGTTGCTGACAATGGATGTCAGCAATGGACACAGCTGAACCCAGCTGGATGGACAAACACGAGCCTTGTTTACACAAGGACATCTTTTGGTGTGACCTGTGGTGCAAATTTAAACCTAATTATGCCTTTTTCCTGTTTACCCTCATCCCATTCCCTACAGCTCTATTCAGATAAGAAATTACTATTTAGGACTTACAGAAGACAATGAAAACAACTAAACAGCCCACACTGTAGAGGCAGCCAAATTCCCAGACTGTTTGCACTGAGTTAACCATGTTTAATTACACCTGCTGTAGGCATGCTCACACAAGGGCCATGTAATTTTTCTCCTTTAGGATTTGTTTTTAAACAGTTTGATAACCATCACATCCCTCCAATACCTGCATACGGCTTCACTAAACAGTGACACGCACGCGTGAAACATCTAAACTAACTGCTCAGAGCAAAGAGGTTCTCCTCACCTCGGAACTAACCTTGCTCCAAATCCTAATCCTCCTTTCTGCTCGAGTATCAAAGCCCCGCTCGGCAGAGAGGCCCCCTCCGCTGAGCTGAACTCCACGGCCAGCAAACACCAGTGCCCTCAGCCACAGTC